TTTTGCTTGAGAATCTATATTTGGTATGGACGGTGTGGAGGATCTTTTGAGAATATAATCATTTATTGTAACGTTGTAGTATCCTAATTCAAAATTGTTGTTGATTTATGGCTATCTATACCAGTTGATGACATTGAGTTCTTGTTAATGGACAAGGTTTTGAATATATTTCTCCAATTTAGCCAAGTACCCAAAATTTTTAACATGCTTGTTACGTAGTGCTTTTAGACCCTCTTGAAACCCAAGTGCATATTATTCAATAGCAAGAGCAAGTACATAAAAGATTAAATTCCATTTCATTCGAGTAATATGTTACAACATATTCAATTTCCACTCTTTCAGTTGCTTAATGTTGCCCAAGAAGACAAAGGATGAAAAATAACTAGTATTGTAATGAAGGCAAAATAAATGAGAAGTATATCTCATGCAACTTATAACATATAATATTTTTCATTTAGCATGTCCAAATCGAACTTGCTTGAATCAAAATACATAGACATCAAAAAAACAAATATGTAAGAAACCCAAATCTATACATGATATCAGTCATTTTCTCCGTCTCATTAATTTTTTTGGGTGGCTAAGTGGAACCTTCCCCTTCTCATTAGCTTCCTTAGCAGGACTTCCCTCCTTATGATGTCGAAAATTCCATCGCGGTTCCTCACAGGTGGATTGTGATGGCAGTGCAGGAACGAACACCTGACAGCTTCAACAACATGGTGTTGTCGTCTGCGCCAATCACTTATCTCCAATTTCAACTCGTTTATCCAACTTGTAGGGTGTCTACTGACTTTCTCCCTTTTAGCTCACTTTGGAGGCTCAGTCGGAATTCCTTGCACCTTCACAAGTTGTTGAAGTACGCGGTCAGACATATAATACTCTGTGATATTGAAACTTATTAGGTATGTCTAACACAATGCAGTTTCCTTACTATGAAGGTCTAATGCGCTATATTCCTCTCCTTCCACCTTCTTGTATGGTTCCCAATTCTCCTTATAAAACAAAACATCACACAATAAACACTTATATAAATACGTGATTGATGAATAACTTGCAAATATACAAGTAAACAAACACCCCACTAATTAATGCAGTATCGTATGGTAACAAAGGAGCAGCAGAAATAAGGTCATTAACTCTAATAACAATCATGTAAATAACTAATCAAAAAAGAATTTTCAGTTGAGTAAACACTAACATCCCTCATCCGTTGATTATCACATTGACTAATTAATTCAACCAATACATAAATTTTTTTTTTCATTAAAACCGATAACATGAGCAAATTATAAATTCACATGAATCCGTGATGTGATGAATTATGAGAACAACTAGTGAAAAGTCATAGCCATGCCATCAACAATCATGGTAAAAAACAAAACAACACTTGTTGAGTATTAGGTGCTCACACGAAATCCCCATGCCACATCGTGAGATCCCTTCAAAGGCCTCAATATAAGTACATCCCTACAAACCCAGCTGAATTCACAAGTTTTTTCAAACCAAGTGAAACGAATTTCCTTATGTTACAGAGATACTTGTATATTCTAAACATGCTAGCATCTCACTATGAACTGTGATGACAATGATATTCATATTGGATAGGG